TAGAGATGTATTAAGAGCCCTAGTTTAGTAATATCAGCAAAATGAAGAATCAGGGACGCCAACATCGCGATACCAATCAGTTGGACATTATGTATTTATGTAATCAAAGTCACACAGCTATATACACATTTACAGACGATAATCCTTTTTAAAAGATTAATCTTGTTAATCATAGTCTTTCAATCATTACATAATATATACTCGTATATATTTTTTCTATAAGCTTGTTTTAATGCTGTCTTCTTTTTTCCAATTAAATTTTAAATGAAAATTAAATATAAGTAACTTGTAATGTTAATCAGATTTAAATAATTTTTAATAATGTCGTAACTGTATGTATCACATAATGTGTAAGTATAGACAGTATGTATAGACAGAAATAGAACTATAGAATAAGAACTAAGAATAATATGTAACTATTAAATTTTTTATTAGCATACTGGGTTTTTAATTAGAGATTACTGCTTTATCGAAATAGAACTTTATTTCTTTAATAAAAACAGAAAGCTTCTTGAATTTACACCAATTAAAATTTTAGTAACTTGTGATCGTTTCCAAGTAGATTTAATCAAATATCTTCTTAATCTCATGCTGAATGCAAAATGAATTCAATTACATTGATGACCATTAAATCATCTTTCTGTTCAATCGAATTTATTTTACAGTAAGACACAAAAGTATAGTCAACACTTATCCGAAAAATATTATTTATTTTAAACAAATCAGATGTGTGTGATCTCGAATGGGATTAATTAGGAATTCCACTACGCAAAAATCAAAAGACTGAAAAAAGTTGCTGACCAACATTATGATGGTAAAGAAATATGTTTGTGTTATACTATAAAATTTTATTTGTAAGAGCACATATTGACGGAGATATTTTCTTCTTTGCCCGAAGTTTGAAGGCAGACACCTGAATCAACATCGAGTACAGCACACTTTCCCGCGGAAACAGTTCGCGTTTTGCAAAGCCGATGTTGATTCTGACAGATTTGCCCGAAAGAGCTGTCAAACAAAACTCGAAACTTTTGGGAAAAATTTTACTTGGGTAAGCAAAATAAAGCCAAATCTTCATATACATACATTGCACAATAACTACAATAACAACAAGACAATTTAATCACAAAATCTGTAACAACAATTATTTATAATCTCATAATTAATGAAAGATATTGTAGAAAGAGCACTTATTCAACTTGCGTATATGGAAATTCTATCGTTTTGTTCAGTAATTTATTATTGAGATAATCGGCACAAAGCTAAGTCTATCGATTTCAGTAAATTATCAATTATTAATCAATTGTTGTCGTAAAAAATAATTAACAAATTTTTTGTCATTTTCCAGACTCAACAGTTATACATCATGGATTTTAATCTTCTAGTTTGCTGGTAATAAAAGAGATATCTCATCTCTGTGGCTTCGGAGAGAGCCGGATCACAGTTTGGAAATTCTATAGCGATAACTCGATTTAAACTGAGAGTCAACTTCTGCCGCTGAAACATCGCGAACTGCGTCGGACTTGAAATTAATAGTAACTTCTGTGCTCGCGAGCGTATCCGCTGAGTGCTTTGACTACATATACGAAGCAAAATCTCGACGGTAATACGGAGGTAATTTTCATCGAGGACACTTTGACTCCAATCAAGTTTCTGTACCGGGAACGAGCTAGCTTAAAATTCCATCGTCTTGATCTATCTAACTTTTACTAGGTCATCAAGCGTTTCTAGAAAAATATTCAATAGTCCATCTTGTGTTCTTCATAGCACGTATACTTACAATGTCGCTTTTGTATTATGAATAAAATTTTGACTGAACATTTGTATAGAAAATTTAGTATTAGTAAATCATAATTTTCAACTCATTATATAATACTTTCAAATCTAATGATTAAATATTTCTATATTCAAAGAAGTGTTTTATTTTTTATTATGATTTATTGTATGATTGTTAATTAAGCTTCTTTTGTACTACGCAATTTTACGCTATGTAAAAAATGAAAAAATAGTTATAAAATATTTGACATGTTTTTCTTCCTAATCTCGATAGTTGTTACATTGTACTTAATTCGGGCATACAACTACGAAAGTGCAATCGGTTGATTTTGTTGATAAATTTATTTCTATTTTGTATCATGTTCGCATGACACACATAAACAGAAAAAAAAGAGAGATGCCTGTGAATGTTCATATCATAAGTAGACACGAACGCAAGATCGATAGCCCAATCGCGTATTTTTCCGGCTTGTATTTCCCCGGATTCTAATTCTGGTGACGCCGGTTGACATTTTTCACCTCGATGTGCCCGACTCAATCACACACGTATGCACATGTATGCACATATCTAACACATTGAATGGTAAATCGATCGCCCAAACTGGGCGATCTCACGTGCCCAGTTTGAGACCAGAATCGTGAGGAGTACGTAGGTAGATAACGCCGATAGTGGTGATCCAAGGAGATTATTGGAATCTTGCCAAGTCCTCTTCAATATGGAGCTTCCACATCAACTCACCTCCATCTCCTTGCGTTTATCCGATCGCTCGACACACGATGTGTAACGTGGCACAATGGACAAGAGAGAAAAATACGTCGGTAAAATATCTGGTAAAAAGAGTAGGGGATACGGATATCTTTGTAGTTGAAGCTTTTTGCGACGGAATTAAATTTACATCTTGTGAATGAATGTAAAAGAAACCTTTAGGATGAAGCAGCCCATTACTCCGACAATGCGCAAAATACGATTACAATTAAATTTTAGAATATGACATTACGAAATCCATTTTGTAATTAGAATATTTTTCTCTTTCTTATCGTTCACTTATTTCTTGTATAAAGAAATTATTATTATTTGTCGTATGCTTCAGACAAAAGTTAACGTTCTTTTCAAAAATATCTTCAATCTTGAAGAATATTTCGTTGCCATAAAAACTCTTAAAAAGCCTATAAAAGTTGATAAGAAAACTAAGAAAAGGAATCTCAATCTACATCGCAGACGAAGTAGCACAGATTGATCCAGCCGTTTCTGGGGCATGTTTGAAGTACCCATAGCCATAACGATCCGTCGGATGAATTAAGAAGAAAATTTAATTCTTGACAAACAACCCTCCGAACTTTTTCAGTTCTTTCTTCACTCCTCACCCGTTCTTCACTTTTTTCCACTTCTCTAAGAGGGAGACTGGTGTTCAAAGTACGATGATAAATGAGCTACTCCGAATCGAAACGACTCACTCTACTCCTGTTTTACTCAGTCTCGTTCGTCTTCGATTTGCAAAGATCAAACAAATCTTTTCCTCTTTTCTCTCTCTCTCTCTCTCTCTCTCTCTCTCTCTCTTCCTTCCCCTTCCTACTCTCTCTATTATTGTAATCATAATTCATCAATATGACGCGCTGCCGGAAGCCGGATATTTCGTACCGGAGGTTTAAAGGGATCTTCGGTATGCCAGTTAATGTATCGCCATACAATCCCACCGATCCATTGTTCCAACTAAGGAACACCCGTTGCTCTGCCCCCGGTGCTTTTCATGGAGTTAGCTTAGTCTATGCCATAAAATGGCGAGCAAGGTTCATGAGCGACGCTAAATTAAATTCATACGAGACTGGCCTGTACTATCTGTATCTCCTAGCCGCGTATCTCTTCAATATCATTATATACTAGCCGTTTGTTTAAGAGAAGGTACATGCACATTTCATAAGGGGGTATGAAAACAATTTTAGTGCAGCAAATTTAGGTGTTGGTTAAATCAATATGATATATCAATTTTAGCAAAAGTTCAAAGGCTGAAATCTTACACAAAGAGTTAATATATTTTATTAGAATTTTGCTAATATATATTTTAAGATATTTTTTATGTATAAAATTCCTAAAAATTATATTGCATATTTTCCAATTATAATTTTATCCTACGTCATTTTCATTAGCTACAGGTTTTCAAGCAACCATTATGTAACTTCCAGAAGATGTTTTTACCCAGATATTTGTGTGAAATATCTCCAACATCATGGATTATGAAGAATATTGGTATGATGAAAGAAAGTGCTTTCTCACTCGAGATAGATTACGAAAATTTATGGTCTCCATGTAAAACCCCAAGCGTTCTTTTTGTTTTAAGTATTTGCTGGATGACACTGCTGTAAATTGGCCAATTTTTCAGCAAGATAATCCGAACAGCAATAATACGATTAATCGTTTTGCATTTTGTTTATAGCAGGATTTATCAATCACAAAAGTTTTATTGTAATCTCAAAAAATCAAGCGATTAACATTACGAGACAATTACTTGATCTTTTAACGATACGAGCGCTGAATTGTACGATCCATATAAAACTTTTCACAATAATTCGACAAAGCTTTTGTTAAATGGGAACAATGAAACTTAAATCTGTTTGTTTTGTGGATGAAAGATTAAAAAGATATAATTCAGAAAAACAATGTAAGTTTTTATTAATTTTCTTTTGAAATGAAAGGAATCAAGTAATTTTTGTATTTTTCTAGATAAAATTTATAAACTCCTTTTTTTAATTATATATTATGCATTATATGAATCTCATTTTACAATTTTTAAACTATTACTTAATAATGTAACTTTATTTTCAAAATAATGATTATTGATTCAGGCGATCGTATGACATTTTCTAAGACAGATTTTTCCGATGTAAAGAAAATCGTGCATTGCGGCAATTGATTTCTTGTCATCTCACGAGATCGAAGTCTATTCAACCTTTTTGACAGAGAGACCTTTTCCTACCCTCCTCCGCGTAGGCGGAGCGCTTTTTCCAGCTGATGTCTTTGCGGTTACTGTGTCGCTTTCGTCTCCTCAAACGCATTCGCGCAAGTTCGGTCTAGATTCCTCTGTTGTGAATCCACCCACCCTCCCAAATGCCCGTCTCTCCCGCGGGCTCACACTGCGCCCGATGGTGCGCACCCGGTGGCGCCTCCAAGCGATCAAGATCCCGACGCACCCCCTCGACCGCGACGACCACCTTCAGTCGTGGGTGCAGTGCGTGCGAGTGTGCAGCGATTCCGAAAGCTGCTGCGAAAGACCGGCGTGGCTTGGAGTGCGCGCGAAGTTAGGTCAGTGTCATTCCCGTTCACCTCTTTGTCATCATTATCATCGCCCTCCGCGGGCACCGCTTGGGAGCAACGGTACCCGGAATTTCTTGTTCTCGACCGAAATCATCGGGTTTGTCGGGCGCCCCAACGCTACGTAGTTTCCGGTAGGCTGCATTTCTCTTGAGAAGGTATCGCGAAATCTTTTGCGGTTGCACTTAAGCAATAGAAAATAGATAGAACAAAATTCTTAAATGTTTTGGATGCTATTTCTATTTTTCTCTTTGGACTAGAGTACGCGAAAAATACAAAAATCATTTAAAATAAAAATATTTGGTGATTTAAAACCACGTTTATTATGAAGAGGCATACAAATACGATCATGCAGAGAACTTCATCGTATATAAAATACATTAATAACAATTTATTTAATTCTTTACAAAATATCAAATTCACATATTTATGTGAAGTGTAATGATGAATAGTAAAAATTTTCAAATAATTTTGCACGTTTTGGTTCTTGTAATATATCATTTTTTGCAAAATGCAAAATATAATAATATTTCTGAAATTATTCGTATTTCCCACAGCAGTATATAAAT